GTTTTAAAAAAAATTGAAAGTAAGTTTTGGTTTATATATGAGAAGAATGGATGGGCTCCATCTCAGTGAATCTATCCATCTACCAAGTTTTAATTGTTGAAAAGGTAGATGAAATATCCTATTGGTTCCCACTGAGGTGAAAGAATGAACCAAAGCCCAGGGTTTGAGCAACTGGCTCTCTTGTCAGATGAACCATTCTCAGTGGATCACCTGGTAAATGTTTCCTTCCAGTCATTTTCTTTGCTGTTTCCTTTGGCCTTTTCAGTTAAATCCAGCTCCATGGCCTTCAGAGGGTCACTGACACCTATGAAGGAAGTCACTGCCCCAGACACATATCCTTCCAAACTGGGAGCTTGGTCTCCCATGTGCCAGGAACTGAAGCTGCATCAGTCAGGAAGAAAGCTTCCCTTGAATTCTGGGCTAGACACCCTAGGCTAAGAGAGGCTACCAGAGGTCAGGCTGTCAGCTCTGCTGTTCTCCAGCAAAGGCCTGGAAGACCCAGACAGTCAAGGGCAAGACAGAGAGGAACTGGGAAACATGACAGAAAGGTGCGCTCCTTTGTCGTGAGGACAAACGAGTGAGGCTTCAGCCTCATCCCGAGCGGCCCCACGGAGGACTTCTCACCATGCTTAGCAGGCAGGATCACAGGGTAGAAAAGGGAACTACTTCTGTTTCTGAAACTCTGTCTCAGTTTTGTTTCTCTCTGTCATGAAAATGGCTTACTCTAAGAATTTATAGAACAAGGATATGTAACTTCAAAATGGGCATGGTGGATAATATTTTTTGAAATTTCGTGAACTTGGCCATTTACTCACTTGGAGAAGGTTGTAATATTATTCATAAAGTTGTTCCTCACAGGCACGATCTCAGATTGTCTCCCAAATTTACCTCTCCAACCTAAGTAACTTTACAACTTGTTATATTATATATATGTATATATATACACCAAGTTGTAAAGTTGTGTGTATATATATAGATAGATAGATGTGTTTGTATGTATATGTATATATGTTTAACTTGAGTCAATGAGAAATGTATATTTGCCCTAAAAAGATTAAAGTGTAGTGCATTTGCAGTTCCATAAAGCACATTCAGAAGTATCCACTTCTGCCTTTTTTCTTCCTAAAGCTAATTTGTTTTTGTTGTTTATTCACCTAACTGCACTAACGACTGTTTTCGTGGTTCCCTTAAGCACTGGGTAATTTAAATTGTCAATGTTCCTTTGCTGTCTTGTGACAGGGGCTTATTATGGTTGACTAATGTACTTGATAGAAAACCAGGCCCCAGCTGCAGTTACAGCATGGGGTGCTAGACCCCAAGAATATCAGCCAAGGAGATCTGCTCTGCTGAAGAATGAGGGCAATTAAGGGTACACTCTCCAATAGCCAAAGGAAAGCTCGAACAGGGCCCTGAGCCCTAGCTTGTTTCTGGTGGCACACCCCCACCTGAAAAGCTATCAGAAGCAAGTAACCTCCAGACATATCCACCTGCTACCCATAAATCCCTCCTGGACTAATCACTAAGCCCCCTTCACCTGCCCTCTCCTCCAAACCAGAGCAGATCCTATTCATCTATAAGGTCAGTTTGAGTCAAAGGTGCTTCTACCCAAAGGCAGTGTTGTTGCTGATGTGTGAGTAGAGAGGGTTAAAAGGCCAAGGGCATCCACTGGAAGAATTTCAAAGGCTGTCTCTGGTAAGAGTGCTGATCTTTTTCTCGTTGTGGCTTTGCTCTGTCTTCCATCCTGAGCTTCTGACGTCTTGGATCAATGGGAGCCATTTCATTCTGACTTTCTCATGCCTGACATCCATGGATGTCACTTCCAGCAATCATGTCACACTTGTCCTCAGAGAGCTTCCTGCTACCCCAGAGAGCTCTTCCAGGACGATGTAAGATGATTCTTCATTGAAATGACACCAACTTTTTATTAAATCTCAAGTCTTCAAGAAAATTAAATTCTGGTCCTAATGATTAGTACTATACAGTCGGAGAGGGGGACAAGGCTGTGGATATTAAATGGTTAAGAACAGGTGCTGTTCCTCCTCTTCTCTGCTTAGTAAACTCATGAACTTCTGCACATCCTTCAGGGACACACATCCCTTTTCTAGTAAGTAAGGACTTCCTGACTTAGTATACACCTCTATGTGTACACACCACACTGTAGTGGAATTTTGAGTTTATACTTCAACTTCACCTACTAGATTGCAAACTCCAGGAAGGAAGGGGTCATGGCCTAGTCACCCGTTTCCCCAGCCCCCTGCATAACACCTGTTTGTCATGGCTGGTAATGGCTTAATGAGCTGCTTTTATCTCCCAGGCTGAGTTAGCAGTGTCCACCTGCACACTACTTTACATGCAGTGTAGACTTTCAGGGTAGTAGTTACACATCATCAGGATAGGATCTATGCCTATTATAGCTTTATATCCTTGGGACCATTAAGTCAATTCAGACTCATAGAGGCCTCCATTGGGTTTCTAAGGTTGTAAATATTTACAGAAGTAGACTGCTTCATCTTCCTTCTGCAGAGCACCTGGTGGGTTTGGATGGCCGACCTTCCGGTTAGCAGCCAAGTGCCATGACCACTCTGCCACTACAGTTCCTCAGCCCAAGATGGGTGCTCAACAAATATTTGTAGTGAGAAATACTGGTTTTTGTTGTTGTTCCACATTTTGAAAAATAATTTTTTTTTTAATTTTTATTGTGACTTGGGTGAAAGTTTATAGAGCAAATTCATTTTCCATAAAGCAGCTCATACACATTTTGTCTCATGACTTTGATGAGTAACAGCTCTCTTTCCATTTCCTCCCCATAGTTACCTCTTCCCTGTGTCCTTCCCTCCCATGCACTCCAGCCCCCCAAGCTGTCTCCCTGTCCATACACTGCGCTTCTGTTCTTCCATAATTGACCTCTCCAAGGAGTATCAGCTTGATGTAAATGTTCAGCCCACATTCCTGTCTATTATTTGGCTGGAAGCCACAGTAGTGAGCTCAATTCCAGACCTGAAGAGCAGCTAGGAGCCATAGTCTCAGGGGTTTCACCAGGCTCTATCAGACCAGCAAAGCTGGTGTTTTTATTTATTTTAATTTTTTAATGATTTTGAGGTTTGTTCCACATTGTTCTCCCACTCTATCCAGGATCTCCTACACAGATCCCCAACCCCACCCACCCCCAAGTGGTTGATAGTGGCAACTGGGCACCATCTAGTTCTTCTGGTCTCATGGTCATATAGGTTGAGGATCGCATGGTCAACCACTCTCCTGGACTAATTATTTGCATGTGTCTTTGGTTTCCTTCATTCTTCTTTGCTCTGGATGTGGAGAGACACATCATTGCATCTAGATGGCCACTTTTATAGTGAGAAATACTGTTGAATAGCCAAATATAGCCAGATGAGGAAAGACCCCAATAGTTCAGATGCCACAGAGTGGCTGTAGGTGTTTCATGCAGGGATTTATCTGATAAAAAGCAGGGTTTTAGTAAAATGCAACTGGGTTGCCTTAGGTAGGAGACTGGATTGGTGTAAAGAAAGATGAATCAGTGCAAAAAGCTAAGTGCTGTTGCAATGGTCTGGCAAGCAGTGCAAAGAGCGTGATTAGGTGACAATTCACCTGGATACAAATGGGCTCTGGAGCGCCCTCTAGTCAGATGCTGACATGATCACCTAGCTGCACTAAGCAACACTGTCCCTCTCTGAACCTTGGTCTTCTCATCTGCAGTACAGAACCAGTGCCGGGAGACTAAGTAAGGCAGCCAGCATACTGTCTGGCACATAGTAGATGTTTGGTTGATGTTCCTTTCACCCCCATCTTTCCAAATTGTACCCAAGGCACCTAAGATTTGGGGAAATCTGTTAGTTCCTTGAAAACAAACTCCCATTTTCCTTCAATCATCTAACCTCAAGTTTGTGGGCCCCAGACTCTGAGCTTGGTCTTATTGAGTACCAGGGATAATGGAAGGAGCTGTGACTCAGCTTACAAAGGCAGTCTGATTGACTGCCCCCAGTTACAGATCATAGCCAAGTCTTTCAATCCAGCCTCAGCCTTGGAGTGGGGTCCAGGCTACCTGACCCACTGTTGACTCCTCTGGCATTGCCAGCTTGCTTTTCCTCCTCTCCACCTTCCTTTATCCTAAAATCCATTCTCCACGGAGCCCCAGACAAAGATTTGCCTGCTCTCACCTGTCCTTTGTGACCCAGCTCAAATGTCACTTGCTTCATAAGGCCTTCCTACTTCCACACCATCCAGGGTAGAACTCCACCTGCTCTCCACTTTTCCACAGACCTTTGCTTCTCTCTGTATGCGTCCCACTCATTACAGCCTGTCTCAGGTCATCAAACTGTATGCTTGCCTGAGATGCTGAGCTGAGGACGCTGGGGATGAAGGGCTTCAGCTCTACGGAAGCAACCCACAGCCAAAGACATAATATTTGCTAGTTCTCCAGACCCTGCCCTGAGTGCATTCAAGCCCCCATGTCTCAGGGCTCCCGTGGGTGCTAATTTTTCACACTCAGCCCACCTTGGTTGGACTCAGTATCTCCTGCCATTTGATTGACTATCTGGCCTGGCTACCCTCGCCCTCTCTTCTGCTTCACAGAGATCTGGCAGCCCACACACCTCCATCCCACACTGCAGCCTCATCTCAGCCTCGTCCCCCATTTTTGGCTTCATTATTTCTGTCTCAGCCCCCCTAGCTGTGAGTGAGCTACTCGACCCACATACTGTATTGCAAATTTCTTAAGGACAGAAATGATGTTTCATTCTTCTTTTTATTCCCCCCACAGAATTAGTTCCACAGTAGGAACAAAGAAAATACTCCTTTTCTTTTTGGAGGCCAATGTTAATGCCAAGTGCATAGTTTTAATTAGATCACGGCTCATAGAATATGTATTATTTCCCATGTCGGGGCAGAGACAGCTGGTTTTATCAGCATGCCCCACAGCTTCCTTGGTTTTACCAATAGAAGTGGAGCTCGTGAAAAGTGTGTCAAGTGAGATATAAACCTACCTGGACAAGTAGAAGGAGGTTTGTATCTGGTAAAGGCGATTTGAGCTTCAGGGCCTGCAGAAGTTCTAGGACGACACTACGAGACAAGTAGAACTTATCCCGCTCCTAAAGAAAACAAAATGCAAGACGGTAAGTGATTGCTGAAAGGTCGGTCAGAATAGGTGTCGAAAACAGCTCCCAAAGATCCATGGATCAGAAATGAAAACTAGTACTTAAAATATAAACCATAAGCTCTCCTCATGAAATAAAACTAAAGCATAAGGAAATGAAAAAGGCAACTGTGTGTGTCCTGAGCACTGAGGGTACGTAACATGACGGAGGAGAAAGAAGCCAGTGTTGTTCAGTTACCACCGAGTCGGTTCAGACTCACGCTGACCCCGCGTGTGTAGACTAGAACTGCACACCCCAGATTTTCAAAGTGGTGACCTCTCAGGAGCAGGTTGCCAGGTCTTATTTCCGAGGTGCCCCTGGGTGGTGGGAACCACCAATATTTCAGTTAGCAGTCTAGCATTTAACCATTTGCACCAGGTTACATTAAAGATGGGCTAGCTCTTAAATATTGAAACCACTGGATTTGCTTCTTATTTGCATGAGGTCCTAAGAACTGCTGAAATTAAACAAATCTAGAAGTACTTCGTTCAATACAAAATGACTTAGAGAGCTATTGTGCAGCTGTGTAAAGGGTCCTACATACTCTCAAAAGAGCTTACTTTTTAAACAGACTGTTTCAAGCATACAGAGAAATTGTGAGAAAGGAAGATACTATGGACCAACCACCCATTTTATTAAACTGTAGCATTTTGCTTTATTTGAGTCCATCTTATTTAGTAAATAAGATGTAACACAAACAGTTGAAGCTACCAACATGGTGCTGTTTTCTTTCTCCTTTCCTCCCTTCCTTAAAGTAGCTGCTATTTTCAATCTGGTAGTTCTATTTCATCAATGTTTTTATACTTGTATTACTTACATATGCCTCCATTATAAGGTATGCTATTGTTTAACTTCCTATAAATTGTATCATACGGTGCATACCTTTCTGCAACTTGTAATTTTTTACATTATATTTTCAGAATGTACCCCTATTGATCCATGTAGGTCTAGTTCTTTCAACTCAACTGCTGAGTGACGGTCTATTGTTGCATGTATCACACGCTAGTGATCCGCTCCCCTGCTGAGGCACTGTTAGATTGTTTTCAGTTGTACCAGCCTTTTTGTTTGTTTGTAAGTCTTTTTGTTGTGAAATATAACACATACAGAGAAGTACACGAACTGTAAATTGACTGATAAGAATAGAACCCTCATGCAATCACCACCCAGATCAAACAACAGACTATTACAAGCATCCTAGAAGCCACTTGTGCTTCTAGGATCAGGAAAGCCTGATCATAATCAAGTAACCGGAGTCCCTGTGGGTCTGCATCCACTGTCTTCTTTCTATTCGCTCTTGCTCACAGTACCTGGCCTCCTTCTGTGTCTGGTTATCTTGGATTGTGTGTGGGATGAGACACTGGAAAATGGTTTTTAGAAATAATTTGAGGCCTGAAATGTTCTCTGCCTTCAAAGAGCTTTCTGTTTGTTTTTAAAACACCAGGTGTCTAGAGGCACCAGCATTGTGGAGTTACCTTAATACACACACATGCAGTATCCTGTCTTGGGCACTCACATGACTTGACACTGAGCTGTGTCCATGTGAGGTCAAGTTTACATCTGGGTTATCTTTACTTTGTGTTCCCAGCCAAGAGTGCATGTGCTTGTGTGTGGGGGTGGGGTGGAAGGGGGAATGCTTAGTAGAGTTCTCACTCTTGGCAAGTCTCAGATTCTGACTTTTGCCACCCTTGCCCCTACTTAAAGGAGCTCTGGTGGTGCAGTGCCTAAGGCATTTGCCTGCTAACCAGAAGGTTGGCAGTTCAAACCCACCAGCCACTCCACAGAAGAAAGACTGGGCAACCTATTTCCTTAAAGATTTACCATCTCAGAAACCCAGTGGGACTCACTATGAGTCAGAATCGACTCAGTGGTAGTGGGTTTGTTTTGTTTTAGCCCCTACTTGGTAATGTAGAGACTACTTTAAAAGCCCTACTTAATAAAGCACAGGGTAGTGAAGAAGAGGAAGGCCTTTAGCAAGATGGATTGACAAAGTGGCTGCAACAATGGGCTCAAACACAGCAACAAGTGTGAGGATCGGGCAGAACTGCATTCTGTTGTACATGGGGTCACTAAGACTTGGAACCAACTCAAGGCCCTAACCACCACCACTACAACAACTACCACAAAGTTTCCAAAATGGCAGCTCAAGCTCTCAGTCACATCTCCAGATTAGCAAATGTCCCCAAGGCACAAACAGCCTCCAGGGCTGTGCTCAGGTCTCCCTATCCCAGTGCTTCTTGGATAATTCTCCTGGCAATTCTCCCATACCTGATTAGCATTTTGGTGCTTTTAAGAGTTTTCAAAAATATTTTGTTCACCTCTTCTTTTTAACTTTTTAAGGAGAAGACAGTTTCAAATTATTTTATCTAACATTGCCAAAACAAGGCCAGGAGCTAACTGTGGAACAAGACCATCAATTGCTCATATGCAAGCTCAAATTTAAACTGAAGACAATTAAAACAAGTCCACAAGAGCCGACTTTGATCATAACCCACCTGAATTTAGAGAACATCTGAAGAATAGATTTGACGCACTGAACACCACTGACTGAAAACCAGAGGAATTATGGGATGACATCAAGAGCATCAGCCATGAAGAAAGCAAGAGGTCATTAAAAAAGGCAAGAAAGGAAGAAAAGACCAAAATGGATGTCAGAAGAGACTCTGAAACTTGCTTTTGAATGGAGAGTAGCTAAAGCAAATAGAAGGAATGACCAGATAAAAGAGCTGAACAGAAGACTTCAAAGAGCAGCTCGAGATGACAAACTCAATTATTATAATGAAATGTGCAAAGACACAGTTAGAAAACCAAAAGGGAAGAACACACTTGGCATTTCTCAAGCTGAAAGAACTGAAGAAAAAATTTAAGCCTCGAGTTGCAATGCTGAAAGATTCTGTGGGCAAAATATTGAATGATGCCGGAAGTATCAAAAAAAGATAGAAGGAATACACAGAGTCACTATACCACACAGAGTCACTATACCAAAAAGAATTGGTTGATGTTCATCCTGAAAAGGAGGTGGCATATGATCAAGAACCAATGGTACTTCAGGAAGAAGTCAAAGCTGCATTGAAGGAATTGTCTCCAGAAATTGAATGAATACCCATTGAGATGTTTCAACAATCAGATGCCGCACTTACTCATCTATGCCAAGAAATTTGGAAGACAGCTACTCAGTCCAAAGAAAAGTGATCCAACAGAATGTGGAAATTATCAAATAGTATCATTAATATCTCACAAGTAAAATCTTACTGAGGATAATTCAAAAACAGTTGCAGCAGTATATTGACAAAGAACTTCCAGAAATGCAAGCTGGATTCAGAAGAGGACATGGAACAAGGGATATCATTGCTGATGTCAGATGGATCTTGGCTCAAAGCAAAGAATACCAGAAAGATGTTTACTTGTGTTTTATTGACTATGCAAAAGCATTCAACTGTGTGGATCATAACAAATTACAGATAACATTGAGAAGAATGGGAATTCCAGAACACTTAATTGTGCTCATGAGGAACCCATACATAGACCAGGAGAACAAGACGATACTGCATGGTTTAAAATCAGGAAGGGAGTGTGTCAAGATTGCCATATGTATTCAATCTTTATGCTGAGCAAATAATTCAAGAAGCTGGGATATGTGAAAAAGAACACAACATTGAGACTGAGAGAAGACTCATTAACCACCTGTGATATTCAGGCCACACAATCTTGCTTGCTGAAAGTGAAAATAACTTGAAGCACTTACTGATGAAGATTAAAGACTACAGTCTGTGGTATGGATTACACCTAAACATAAAGAAAATGAAAATCCTCACTACTGGACCAATAAGCAGCATCACAATAAATGGAGAAAAGATTGAAGTTGTCAAAGATTTCATATCACCTGGTTCCACAATCAACACCAATGGAAGAGCAGTCAAGACATCAAACAAGGCATTGCACTAGGCAATGGGCTCAAGTATAGCAAGGATCATGGAGCTGGAGCAGGACCGGGCGGTGTTTTGTTCTGCTGTGCACAGAGTCACTATGAGTCAGAGACAACTCAATGGCACCTAGCAACAACAACATCACACTAACAAATTTGCTGCAAAAGACCGCTTTAAAGTGCTGAAGAGCAAAAATGTCTCTTTGAAGACTAAGGGGTGCCTAACCCAAGCCATGGTGTTTTCAATCATTTCATATGCACATGACAGCTACATGATGAATAAGGAAGACAGAAGAAGAGTTGATGCTTTTGAGTTGTGATATTGGAGAAGAAAACTGAAAGCACCATAAACTGCCAGAAGAACTAACAAATCTGTCCTGGAGGAAGTGCACCCAGAACACTCCTTGGAGGCGAGAATGGCCAGACTTTGTCTCACCTACTTTGGTTACATTGTCAGAAGCGACCATTCCCTGGAGAAGGATGTCATGCTTGGTAAGGTGGAGGGAAAAAGGGGAAGGCCCTCAACAAGATGGATTGACACTGTGGCTGCAACAATGGGCTCAAGTATAGCAAGGACTGTGAGGGTGGTGCAGGACTGGGCGGTGTTTCATTCTGTTGTACACAGGGCCGCTATGAGGCGGAGCTGACTCGACGGCACCTAACAATGACAACAACAACAACACTGCCAGAAGAGAAAGTCTAGGGATTTCTGTTGGGATCAGACTGGATTTAAAGGTTAATTCGTGGGAACTAGCTGTGATTATGATCCTGGGTTCTCACCCATGAACATGGCATCTGTCTCCACTTGTGTAGATCTTTAATGTCCATCAGTAAATTTTTCTGGTTATTGCTATAAAGTTCTTACATATTTTTGTTATATTCATTTTTTTGTTGTCACAATAAAGCTCATTTTGAGAAGTACCCTTTATAGTCATTTGTAACTGAGTATTACAAAAGGGAGGAGACTTCTGGATCTTCATTATACCCCATGTTCTTGTTGACACTCTTATAAACATGTCCATAAATTTTCTTG